TCGATGATCTGTAGAGTCGTAGAACTAGCAGGGCTGATTACTGGGATCGCCTTCTACAGTGTCAGCGCGTCAGCTGGCGATCCCATCGTCTGTACTATCTTAGGCACATATCGTAGGCACCTCACCATCATTTACCGTTGGCGAGGCTGTATAGCGGACTGCATATCAGTTAGGAATACGCATCCTACTTTGTTCACACGCTTTCATGTTAGAGTTGCCATCCACTTTGTTGGCACCCAACAGAGTCGTCGGAAACGGTGTAGCAAGAGGCCAACCGTGAGCAAGGGGATAATTGAAACCAGCGGTGAGTCAATTCGCAATCGCCAACACTGAACTATACGTTGGGTGGAGCATTTCGGACAACAGTTCAACAGGTCACCTTTGCCTTCGAGTTGCCATTCATGTGTCCACGGTGTTTGCGTGTGGGTTCGCACCTGTCCTCCAGGGTTGTCTATGAGCTTCGTCACCTGAAGCGTAACAAATCTCTCGATCCCGACGAATTACCTCCGACTGTTTCCAAGCATGAAGTCCCGTCTCTCCTTTTTGAATTAACCACCCTCAAAAGTTTTGGACTACAGAAGTCATCCAATCCGATTGGGGCTTAGCAGACATAGTGCCGATTTTCATAAGAGGTAACTGAACAGATCGCGCAAACTACCGTATGCTCAGCCTTCTATGCATCCGAGGTGCTTGTTTCCCTGCCTTTACGGAGGCTCAGTCAAGTACGCGAGCGGCACACGTGAAGAACAGGCTGGGTTCCGCTCAAGTCGGGGCTGTATTGATCACGCCTTTACGATCCGCCAAATTCTAGAGCACCGTCCATTTTTCAGCCGACCTACCGTCATTTGCTCCCTGGACATACGCGTAGCATTTGATTCAGTTGATAGAGCTACTCTCTGGAGTTTTCTGCTGAGAAGGTGAGTACCCGAGAAGTGTGTTAACATTCTTCAAGCCATTTAATCTCGAACCTCAGGTCGAATACGGGTGTTAAGCGGAATCTCGCCTCCTTTAGTATCACCAGCAATGTGAGACAGGGCTGTCCTGCATAACCCTTTTTGTTCAACTTCGCTATGCATGACATACTAGAGAGTACTCTGGAGAACTGTGGGCTTGGCGGTGTAGAATTACTCACAGGTAATCGGCTCTTTGACTTGACGTGTGCAAACGACATCGCCGTAATTTTTGACTTATCGCAGGCTGTCCAGGACATGCTGCACAGGTTGCAGATGCTTGCATCACAGTTCGGAGTGATCTTTGCCCTTCAAAGTACAAGGTTTTCCTTCAGGACTGGGTACAAGCTGCTCATATCCTCCTGGCTCTTTGGAAGTAGTCGACAACTTCGTTTACCGGTGGATCCTACGCGACATCATTCTCGCCCTAAAAGGCAGAGTTTACAGCGAAACCGTGCCTTCAACCCTCTTTTACGGTTGTGAAACCTGGCCCATCACATCGACAGACATGAAGAGACCATCGCTGCCTTCACAGCGTAGCTCATGTCTAGTAGGAACACCGCGTGAGCAATGAGTATGTTCGGCGTCATGTAATTGACACAGGAAGAGCGAATGGGCTGCTCAGCGCCGTTATGTCATGCACCATTCTCCGGTGGCTTGGTCACGTGTTGCGCATGTCAACACACCAACTCCTACGACTTGCGTTGTTTTCGCAAGGGGAG